TCAAGTCCTTAATATGTATATTTACGTCAAATACCATTCATGCTAAGGAGATTGATACATATGCTTCGATTCTGATGTGACATTGACACATGACGGATTGTGACTTATGGTCAGTCAGTCAGTGGTATTTAGCACGAGTTAAAGTTTTTGGGTGACCAACCAAGAAGAAGTTCGGTTGACGTATTTATGCACTAATGTGATGTGAGGGGTAAAAATGCACGTGTTACGTGTCTGCCAGCTTATTTCTGTGTATGTGGCAGATGAAAAATTAATTTCTTTAGCCCGGATGGTCTCATTGCGAAGGGAGCAGATACTGTATTAATAGGTGTAAGGGTAGCCTGGATATTTGGTGACACTTGGTTCAGCTAACCAACCTTCCCCATTTTGGACCCTATTTGTTGAATGGGAGAAAGAGATTGCTTGCACACATGCCTCTCAGGAATGCGACAAATGCATGTGGCCATCGCATCATCAAAAGGCCGGCAGAGATGCCAGACAAACATCTGTACGATGTATTTGTTGAGATCAGAATGAGACCCCGGAACTGCATAGGATGAAAAACCTGCTAAAAACGTGGACACCTTGATTCATTCATCCACTTACGAATAAAGCACCTTTCACCCCAATTCTAAATTCTGGTGAATGCTATGGTTCTCTTCGTTTGTGATCAGTTTCTTAGTGTATGTAGTATAAGAAGCCTTCAGAAAAATTGGACCTCAGTTTCAATTTTATTTTGCATGAAACTAATAATGAAAGTCTCCTAGCGTATGCTCTCCGATTTTGGTCAAACTAGTCTCAATCGATCGTAAATTTAATTAGTATGAAATTTGCGAAAGACACGATCTCCCAATGGGCACTCTTGGTAGAGATATTTGCATCCAAAGAGGAGAAATGAGGGGAAAGAGGAGAAATCCTAAGAGGGTGGCCCTTAAATGCCACCCTTATTAAATCTATGGAATGAAATACCACTAAAATCGCATATTTCACGGCACAAACATCAAAGTCGGAAGAGGACAGAGGAGGAAGAAATAATGGTTTAGTGTCCAGTCCACAAGGAAAAAGTGCCAGATGGTTCAAGAGCGAAATGATTTTCCTGCAATAATAACATAACACCGATGCATGCAACCTGTTGTACATATACTCGTTAGTTTCCTTGGTGGGTGGGTGGGTAGGTAATCAGTGGCCCGGAGAAGCCGTGGGGGCATGTGGGGACATTGCAATTGTAAGAGAGGTGAGGGAGGGGTTTGCATAAGATGCGGACATCAAATAACCGTGGGACATTGTCCCTCACGCTTCCGCCGCCACTGTGGGTAATGGTACTAATAATAATAATGAAGAATGCCAACTTTAACGTTGTCATACCCCACTAAAAACTAATAATGGTCAGTCCAGTCAGCGTCTCCTGAAGAAGGACGACTCTGAACTGGGGAATGTAAACAAGAAAGAAAGCAATTGTCATTCTTCTCGAGATTAGTTGGCGCATTATCCAATTCCTTCCGTGTGTGTGGCATGCAAGATGTGGATTACGACGACGAGGACGAGGATTAAGCTCTTCTTCGAATTCGGTCGGAAGGTAGAAAGGCGAGAAGAAGAAGAAGATATTATTATATAAATTGTCGCTGCATTGGGCATTGGGATTTTAAATCCTGTTTGCTTTTTGACTTACTGCTGCAATAAAATAACGAATGACGGACAATACTTTTCGAATATTGTTTCATTTTGGGAAGCAAATTAAGTCATTCTTTTATATTCGTATATACGAAGTTATTGGGCCATCGACAAAAAAATATGTTAATGTATAAATACAAGTCTTGCATCAACTTGCATGCAATTGAATGTGCATGTAGTAATAAATAAATTGAGTGCACATGGGTGAAAAATATTTTGATTATAAATAATAAAATTCGAGCAACGTGTCCAATGGGGGATTTGTAAATAAAAGAAATGTGGAGGATCTCATGAAAAATAAATCATGCGGATGCTGAACTTTATGTAGGAATGGAGGTTTCCCAGGGTATGTTCTCAGATTTTGTGCATGTTAGTGTCAATCGATAACAAATTTAATTAGTATGAAATTTGCGAAAGCCACGATCTCCCGATGGTCACTTTTGGCAGAGATATTTGCATCCGAAGAGGAGAAAACGCACAGTAAATTTAGAAAGTATAAAATCTGTCAACTTTAGGACGCGTTTTCTCCTCTTGGGATGCAAATATCTCTGCCAAACGTGCCCATTGAGAGATCGTGTCTTTTGCAAATTTCATACTAATTAAATTTATGATCGATTGACACTAGTTTAGGCAAAATCTGAGGGCATATACGCTGCGAGACCTCCATTAGAAGTATGCATCGCAGTACGTAAGTACCTGGTGGCAAAATGAGACTGAATCTTCCTGCCTTTTATTAGGCTACCTTCTCAACTGGACTCTCATCCTTCGATACCTCCCAGTCCATCAATATTGCAGATGAATAATGAGTTTCTTCCCAGTGTGAAGCAGTGATCCGGTAAATTATGGTCTAAACACCTTGAACTGAATTTGTTGAGGGGATTAAAGAATTTGGGAAAGCGATTTTCTCAGAATATTTCGCTCAAACTCAATCACAGGATTAAGCCGGATAATCTCCTCAACATATCACGTCATACTTCACCCGAAGAGAGGTGCTTGTAAATTATGCGATGTCGCCTTTGGAATAATTTAGGGCACCGTAAAGTCGATCAGTGACATGGATTGGTTTGGTGGGCTCTGTAAAAGGTGTGTGACACGGAGAGTTTGTCGGCTTCTTCAAGTTTACTTAAAGTTACGTTACAAAACAGTTTGCTTCTCAGCGTTTAACTTTCTTTCACATGGAATATGTACAAAAACCAAACTTTGGGTGACGACGAGGATGATGGTTAAATTTAAATTCGTGTAGATGAAGGCTGAACTTTGGAATGAGCTCCAAAAAAGTGATGCGGTGCAAGAAAGTGGTTTCTTGCAGCGTTTTTGACCTGCAAGAAATGCGAGACGCAAAAAACTACGCCTTGCCACTGTAGTTCGTAGGGGGCGTGGCTGGATGAAGCATATTTCTTGCACTTTCTCCCAGTTTCTTGCACCTCACATTTCTTGCACGGCTTGCTTTGCAGTGCAAGAAACGTGGCAAATCTAAAAGAAACGAAGCACTGGATCCCGGTGGTTCGCATTTTCTTTTTAAAGTCACAATATCAGACTATAAATTAATGATTTACAAAAAAACTCTGTGAACAAGGACCATGAAACAAATGTTAATTCGCTGTGGGACACTTATTCATTTTTTTTATTACAACCGTATTGAACTTTTCAAGTAGATTTATTTTTATTTAGGTGAACGTAACGTGCATAGTGTGAAACTAACTCGATGGATGGGTGCATATATTTTCGAAATAGCTCATCCTAAGAAGTAGTATCTTCTTAAGATAAGGTTTTTAGATTTAGTTAACCATCCTGAACTATTGAATAAATACGGAAGGAACATTACATTTCAGTGATACATAAGGCATAATATAAAGTGACGAGTTATGTAACTGATAAATAGTCAACAATTCGTCACGAAATTAATCAATTTCCACTCAGAATTATCAGCATAAGATTTCATCACTTTAGTTATTTTCGTTTTGGGTTCGCTTATTTAGCAAAGTTTATTATGCATTAAAGTGAAGAATATTATTATTTAAAGGGGTTGCGTCGTAATTTGAGTCAGATTCTCTCAAGCAGCAATACCAGGACATTTAATAAATGAATATGGTTCATTACTAGAAAGATATGTACGTACGACTAGTTTGAGTTTGAAAGGTTCTTTTGGTAATAATTTGGTAAAGGAAAGGAAGAAGACGAAACGACGACAGGAATGAATAGGATTGAATAAAAAAGAAAAAGGGACGACGTTCTGGAGCATTAAAAATTTCAAGGGCTTGAGCATCCATCCATCCAGTCAAGTGGCTTGTTGTTTCGCTCATGTCTGGCCAGGTTTATAAATCAGCCAGGATGATCTATGGGGATGTAAAGGGTGTAAACAAAATATGGGAGAATCGATTTTTGCCTGAAAATCTGATACAAATTAAGGTTTAAAGTTTTATTGAACCAGGAAATATTTTTACTTAAAGTTTTTCACAGCGTGGACTAGTTAGTTTTAGTTTTGTGCTAATCACGAGCATTTTGCGGAAATTCGAAGTGAAAAATATTTCAGAAAAATTGAGATTTACTCAAAAAAATGGACAAACAAGAATTTATCCCAGGACGAAAAACGACCTTTATGACCCAGAAGGGTGCCATCCCACATCAAAGTGTCATCCAATGTAATTTTAATACCAAATGCTCTACAAGAGTGGAATTTTATACGCATTTCCAGTTTGGGAAAATTGCAACAAAATCCAAAGCAGGAGGACAAAAAGACAAAATATTAGGGTATCATGTTTGATAAAAAAAGCTGGCTTCGTATCTATCCGTTTTTGAGTAAGAAAAACTTAACAATTTTACCAGAAAAAAAGATTACCCGAATTTTGTTACACCCTTTACACAATATAATGCTATAATGTAAATGAATTGTACGTACGCGCACGCATTATTATAAATAGAGGAAAAAGCATCATCAAAATAATAATAGCTACATATACATACGTCGAGTAACTAGTAACATGCACACCACCAGTCGGTAAGTAAGTAGTCGCAGCCGTCTTAACGTTTCTAAAGACGAGCGAACGTGTGGTGGAACATGCCTGGTATTTGGATGTCAGTTGTCGGATCCTTTTCTTCACTTCCGGAAGTGAAACGGCAGCTGCCTGTACGGAAGGATCCTTTTATCCCTCCTCCATCCATGCAGGTTCTTATTTCTTGTATATAATGTCACTTTGTTCCTATATCCCACACACATCTATGACAGACACCATAATTTGTAAACCCGAAAGAAAACTTGTCCAGCCAGAGTAGTCAACTGGAATACATGATCAATCAGCATTTATTAAAAAGTAACATTCAGGATCATCAGTATGAATGACATGTTATTAATGAGACAAAAATGATCAGCATGAAAGGATAGAAAGATATTAAAGAATAATTTTACAATGAATTTTATAAGTTTCCCAAAATTTTGTTGGATCACTTCAGATTAATCTAACGCGGATCCCGGTACTTTCCCGTGTATGAAGGTGTAGTATCCACAGTTGAAGAAGGTTTTCTTACGATGGCGACATCAATGAATAAGTCTGAAGATCATTAAGTAATTAATAATTAAATATACATAATTAATTAGCTACTAATTAATTGATAAAGACTTTTGCTTACCAGTAAAAAGTTTATCCTCCAGGCACAAAATGCGCTTCATCTCTTCATCCGTAACACAGAGACAACTTTTCGTCGCAAAAATTTGTGCCGTTGTTGTCCGGATGGATTGCGTGGTGAATGTTGCACATTTTTTGCGATGGTCTTTGCAAATTTCGATTTCATAAAAGAATTTCGATGCCTCTTCTTGTGATCCAATCATCCAAACCCAGAACATCCAGTGTCCGTCTTCTCCGATGGATTTTCCTTTCAGAGTGTGGTTCATCATGACGAAGAAATTAGCATGGCCAACTCGCAACCACTTTGGTAGCCAACTATATTCCACGTTAAAGGCCTCGGACGCAATGGGGATACGAGTCGTTAGCGTCTTGGCATACGTGGGGCAGAGATAATGAGTGCTAAAATGCAGGTTGAAACTATGGTAGGGCACCGTTTCGTTACAAGTTTGGAGTAAGATACATGAAATGGGTCGAAATTGACATTCTCGGTGATGGTTATCTTCTGAAAGGGTGCCACGAACTAACATTTCTGTAAAAAAGGAGAATCATTTTAAAACAAACAGAAATTTCGTGTAGAGTGTTTCGGGTGAAAGTAAGGAACTACTTGCAAGAAATAACGGGAAGAAGAAAGTGATTTCTTGCAGCGGTTTTGACCTGCAAGAAATGCAAGGTGCAAAAAACTACGGCCCACTTTATACCGGGCGTGGCTAGATGGTGCATATTTCTTGCACTTTCTCCCAGTTTCTTGCACCTCCAATTTCTTGCTTTTTTTTGCAGTGCACGAAATGTAGCAAACCCGGAAGAAACGAAAAACTGCTAGTATAGTAAGGCAGGTATTGATTTCTGGGTATTAAAGCTTCTACCGTTTGGTAGCAAAATTATATCGGTCATTAAAAAATTGCTACCGATATGGGAAAACTTTAATGCCGAGCAATACTGGATTTCCAAGAGTGTAATAAAAATCCAATTCGTTATACTCACCCTTGCATCCACTAGCTGTAAATCGACATGGGACTTTGACAATTTGAACTTGTGTGTCATTCTTTACTTCCACACTGTCATTAAGGGTTTGCCTATGAAAATTCGTCTCTAGGTTGAAAGGTTGGTGAGCCTCATTGTTCTGGTTGATGATATCTTGTGGGTGTTCCGTAGTTAAATGAATCCCAACAGCGATCGGAGCTTCATCATCACGGTCTTCAATTTTAATCGGTATTGATTCAGCTACCTGGTCTGAAATTGCGTCTATTTCTGACCGTGATACATCCACGTTTTCAGGTGCAGAGGTGACAGAAGGTGAAAGTTCGTGGTCATTTCCCATTTTAAAGACGACTGTGGTACTTTCTCCGTCTGTTTGAGGGCTGCTCTTCCCTTCTTCCAATTGTTGTTCCAGTTCCTTTTCGTCTTCTCCACTATCGTACAAGGTGGGAATGTATTGTTCCGAGATTCCTGCCTCATGATTTTCAGTTAATATTGTCCCACTACTTGCAGAAAAAGTGGACATTTTTGGACATGATGATTGCTGTTGAATCGAGTTGGAAGCAAATTTATTCCCTTGGAGTGATTTGCGATTTCGACGCCAATCAGCAGCCGGCTTTGGTTTGACGCGTCGTTGAATCGTGGCGCTGAGGGTGTTAATTGTTTTAATTTTCTTGGCAAGTTGCATCTTTGCTTGTTGTTTTTCTAAATAGGAGGTAGGTTTGGGGGGTTGTTGTACTCCAATGCAGCTGTGTTTGGTGGGAGTTATCTTGGGAGTTGGCTTTGGGGGTGGCGGTTTTTGGGGTTCAATTATTTTCTCGTCCTCATTTTTAATGGTTTTGTCCACCGCACTGGTTTTGAGGTTGAGTGACGTTGACGTAGTGGGGGATGGCATGGGTGAAAGCTCAAGGTCTGAAAGGTGCAGTGGTCCTCTTGCTTTCAGGGGTCGAGTAATAGGTGCAAAATTTTGTCTCTCCTTTGGCGTAAATTTTGGCGTGATGGGAATCGGAATTTTTGTAAATTTCTTATTTCCACTGATTGGAGTTTTAATCATTGGAGTGGTGTTAGACATTTTATTCATGACGGAATCGGAAGATTGGGTAGTTTTTGCATTTTTTAAAGCGCTTTTGTAAGGGGACTGTGCCCTTAATTTGTAAGGTGACTGATGTTTCCGTTGAGAGTTGGTTTGTTTGTCATTAAAGACAACGGTTTTATTTGATGCGGCCGATGAGATTGAACTGGAGGAGTGTTGACCACTGATTTTTTCGCCGGTAGGGATTGGGTCAGGAATGACATTATCAGGTAAAATTGGGTCGTCTCGTGGTGTGTGGAATTCTGATGATAAGTTGGAAGGAATTTGATCCAGAGTTTCCCTAGTTGGAGGATCATTTGTGGCGCTATCTGCCATTGTCGGGCTCAAGATTTGATTTAAATTGGATGTTACTGAAACATTTCTTTTAGCAGCTGTGATGGAATCTTTCGTAATTTTGGTTGATGACGGTTCAATTTCGTCAAGATGGATTTCAGGTGAGGTATTTTTCTGTTCGTCAGGGGACATCTCGTTATTATTGGTATTATTGACATCCACCTTGTCGCCGGCAAGTTTGTGGTCAAAATCGTTCCCATCTTCAGATACTACTTTGGTCAGTTTTCCTTCCTCAGAGTACAAGCGGAGTTGATAAAGGTCTAAAAAATATAGTGAAATTGGGAAAGGTTATTTTTATTTATTTATCAGTGATAAATTATCACCTGACCCAAATATGAATATTTAATTGAGTACAAGAAAATTGAAGGACATTAAAATTAACTGACTTTACTTTACCTTGATTCGGTGAGAAGTCATGTGGTTGTTCTGATCGGTTTCCATATCTGTTTCGAGAAGAGTAAACTTTGTGATAAGCTTCCTCCATCGAGAGAGATTCCGGCGAGTTGTAAATTTTCGCCTTGATCCCAATGTGTTCCCGTTTCTTCGGGGTGGTCGACATTTGATCTTCAGGTCTGGGTTGTGCAGGTGATGTGACGCTATATGTACGTAAAAATGTGTCAATATCAGCCAAGGAAAAATCTGTCATTTTTTAAATTAGAGTTTCGTACCAAAATTAATAATATATTCCGGAAGCAAAGTAACTGGACGGATAATGACGGCCAATTTCGTTGTCACAGCTATGTCGCAAATTTAGTCAGGAATTGGTCGAGCAATTAATTAAATATTATTGTAAAGTTTCAGCGAAATTAATAATTAACGGAGCGGCCAAATGTTGTTTACTAAATTATGTCAACAAATCAGCACTTCGCAAATTTCAGCTGACCTGAATAAAATTCTCAAATATAAAAATAAAATTGTGAGATTTTTATTTCCGGCACATTTGCACAGCAAAAGTGCAAATTTTACCCTCATAATTAGCAGGCAATACATTTTTTAAACGATTATTACATACTTACTAAATATTTTTGTGCGATTTACGCATTTTTTTGCCATTATACAACCCCGTTCATAAATAGATCACTAAAAATATGATCAGCATCATCAATCATTGTCATTTATTATTATTTTTCGTACATGATTTTACACGATTATTATTACCACTGCATGTTTGGTAATCCATAAAAAGTGCATCTTATATAATTTTAACGCAGGAGGTTTCTTCTTCTGCGTCATCGTGAAATCATCACATCACATAATCATCCGTTTCTTGACACCGATATTGGACGACTATTATGCGGTGGACGATTTTGGTCCCATCATAGATATTCGTGCCTGGGTCTCATTTACTTGTTATTGTTGCTTTCCGACAAAACTTCACGTCTATTTGTTGTTGTAATAGTAATAATCTGACTGTTGGCGATGCAGTTGGATGGCTAAAGTAATGACAATGACTTCAATTATTGGGGGACAGACGGCTTTCATGTGTACATGGTTTTGTCAGTCAGTGCACCTACTCTCGCTCGTCATCTATTTTTGGGATGGATGGATGGGAACGTTATCGGCAAATAATTTACTACAAGACTGCTATTTAGCTCGTTGTCATAAATTTTTATGTGGGTAGAGTAGAGATAGATTAGTAATGCAGACCAGAATACCTTTTCGCGAGAGGTGTGTTATCTGTGTGTGGGTGGGTGGGTGGTTCTATACATTTAATCACTTTTAGCAGGTCTTTATATCGACGCCGAATGCGTATGTATGTATGTAGATGATATGGATTTAAGGTGGAATTATTATATATGTATTACTCCGTGTTTAAATGAATATTTCTAAAATGGCATAAATTTTGGTGAGTTTTTGAGATGAATGCAAGTTTTCAGTATTTTAATGTGAAGTTAATTTTTGGTAGTAGAAAACTATCTATTTAAAAAAGATGCTAATTCATTTGCAATTTTTTCGCAATAAAGTTCCTTAAAAATGAATTCGTTAATTTTTTTTCAAATCGAGAATTTTGTAGCATAAAAAGTGATCGTCACAAGTTTCATACAACTTTTCATACAACTTTTATTTATCTGAAACCTCATGAAATCGATGCCAATTTAGAAATTTGAATTTAAAGAGATTGTCCAGGGGTAGACTGAGATTAAAAATCTATGCCACATTAAATCATCATCCAATTCCACCTTAAGTATAACCTGGACAAAAATCATACTTTCTTTTTTCCATGTGGGTGTTTGTTACTTTCAAAAATCCAGATATACATATTTACCATTATTGAAAAATGGTTCAGTTCAGAATGTCCGAAACGAAGTGAATATCAGACTTGTCGCGGATAGTTAAAGTGTCAAAGGAGCGATTATGGAGTTATTTGTGAGTGTTTTATTGTGCACACACAAACGAAACGTGAGAGAGAGCCTGATGGTTGGTTGGTGGATTGTTAAATGGATTGGATGGCAGGAATTGTTGCGATGTGCAGATTGGGGACGGATTGGGATAGGCTTTGACAGGTCAGAATTTCACGGAGAATGAGAGGACAATGGAAAGGTGGTAAAAATGGGAGGCGGTGGTGTCAAAGAAGGCAGAGAGGACTCAACTCCTGTCAAATGTGTGGGCTAAAAATTCTTCTTCTCCGTTTTACGACGAACAATAAGCCTTCACTCGTATTGTAGTAAATTGTAAATACGAACGAGTACTTGACTGGGTTTGGTTGGGCGTTGGGTTGGATTTGTGAAGAAGAAGAAAGACCAAGGTTTCGTCGTCGTCTTCGTTGACGTCGTCGTCGTTCGTGGTCCTTCTACTCCAGGAACACCTTTCCTTTTCCATTATAACTTAACCGATTATGATGATGATGATGGTGATCGTCTTGGTGCATATGGTCCTTCCTGGTCGTACAGTGGCCGCGGAAGGGTGGGGACGGAGAGGGGCAATGTCCTTACAGTTGTTCGATGTTAGCATCATTTCCCCATCTTGTATAAACCCCTCCCTCCCCCAGCCTACAATGTTAACGTCCCCAGATGTCCCCACGGCTTCCGCGGCCACTGTATGTATACCTTCCATGGTGATGATAACGCCAGAAGAACAGTGGGCGCGGAAGCGTGGCGACAGAGGGACAATGTCATGTCCCCACGGTTATTCGATGTCCGCATCATCTGCCCATCTTATATAAACCCCTCCCTCCCCTGTTAATGTCCCCAGATGACCCCACACCTTCCGCGGCCACTGTTCTCAGGTGACATGAAACGTATGACGACCATGCATGTTTGAGATGTGTTTTACTGTTGACTTGTGTTCACTATTTGCTTGTTATCCATAGCAGAGGGCAGGTTCCTTAAGGCAGGGCAGTATTGTGGCAAGCATGAAGGGTACGTAAGGAATTTTTCGGTGAGTGTGAGTAAGACTGATGGAATGGCGTGGAGGTGGAGGTGGAAGATCTCGAATCTGGAGAAGGAACAGTGGTGCGTAGGTCTTTAGAATGAGAAGGACAAACATTAATTCATGAGAAGGCAGGCAGGCAGACGAGTGAGAAGATGGTTACTTTTTGTGTTATAAAATGATAAATGTACAATTTGTCTCCTTTGTGGGTGGGTGGCATGGGAGGGGGTGGGTAGGCACAATAGGAAAATGTTATAATTTCTTAATTCAACATAATAAAAATATATGTGTGTTTTGAGTCGAGTACAGATGCACATTTTTTACCAACTTTTCCTGGTTTATTTTTAAAAATCTGTATAAATCAACTAAAAAGTTAAGAATGGAGGTCTCCGCCCAGCGTATGCTCCCAGATTTTGACTAAACTGGTGTCAATCGATCACAGCTTTAATTATGTATGACATTAGCAAAATATTAGATCCAAAATTGGCAGGTTTGCAGATTTGCATCCTAAGAGGAGATAACGCGCGTTAAAGTTGGTAAATTTTACACTTTCCAAATTTTACTGCGCGTTTTTACGGATGGAAATAAATATCTCTGCCAAACCTGACCACTGTGGTATTAATCGTGTACCCGACCTTTTCAAAAATCATATTAATTAAATTTGGCCAATTTGATCAAAATTAGAGAGCATACGCTGGAAGATCTCCTTTGTTAGATAAGCTCTGAAAATTATACAACTTTACGTAAATACTTGTAGATTTATTTTAACCATTTAAATCTTATTGTTACCAATTTCGTACGCATAATCGTATCGTGTTCATTTTGGGATAGGAAGAAGGAATGTTTAGACTTTAGGGAACAAAAAATAATGGTCCCTACAATCAGTGGCCGCGGAAGTGTAGGGACAGAGGGACAATGTCCCCACGGTTATTCGATATCCGCATCATCTGCCTATGTTATACAAACCCCGCCTTCCCCTATCCTACAATGTTAATGTCCCCAGAGGTCCCCACGGCTTCCGCGGCCACTGCCTACAATTCATAATATCCACTTGACACACAATACAAGAAATTTTTAATACGAATGAGTATTTATTTATTAAAGGTGTTCAGTGAAAGACACTTGATTCGGATCATGACTAAATTTAATCGTAAATATAGAGTTAGTAGTATGTATTATACACATACATATATCCGTACTTATTATAATGCAGTGTAATAATACTGGGCTTATTTTACTTCTTCTTGTTCTCAGACCTTACTGTAATCCTTGCTGTTCCCAGTGTAATTTTGACACTTGGGCAGCAATGCGTGGCCAGACTGACTTGCTTTTTGTCGTAATTTTGATTTGCTTTACATTGCTCACTCACTCACTCACTTGTTCTTTTTCCCAATTTAAATTGAACCGTGATATTGCTGAAATGCTGCTGGCTTAGAATTTGTGAGAAATGGTTTCTGGAGGAAGGGGGAGTTGGTTGGGGGTTGGCACAGTGAAGGAGTCACCACAATTCTTTAGTTTATGCATTCCTTCTTGAGCGAACGACGAGACGAAAAGTGTAAAAGATTGGGTAGCCTTGTTGGGTTGGATATATTAAAGATGCGGCAATTGATAAGATAAAAAGAATATCTATGATTATATTTGTACTACAATTTATATAATATGTAGGTGTGGATTATTCAACTTTAAGGATATGCACTTATCCTTAGATCACTGCATTTTTAATGAAATTTCTCATCATTATTACACACGATTGAAAATACCCGAGTAGAAATTAATTAGTGTGTCGAATTCTGCATGCAGGAATTGACAAAAGCTCGATGTCATAATTGTGTTTTACATTAAATCCTGCACAATTTTTTTGCTGGTTTTATTCTGCAAAGCTTTCTGCACAAATTGCTCCACGTCCAGAATTTTCTGTAGAAAATTGGGCCAAATTTTTTTACTCGGAATATTCTCTTTGTTTCGGAATAGTGGGTTTGAGCGTTTGTATTTATGCACGACTTTTGGCATTTATCTGTATCTACATGCATATGTACATATCAACATATGTATGTAAAATCCAGTAATTTTATTTTTTATTTTGAGTGGACTTGACAATGGGGCACAATATGTATGTAGGCATGTGGCAGTAACAATCATGAAAATAACAGCAATTTAAAATATCTATGTTTGTAAAATGTTTTGCCATTTGTGACCCCATTTTCAACCTATTCGATGTATTATATAGTTCATGCGATATTCCAATAAAGCAGGGATACAAGTTCTTGGAAATGTAAATAAAGTGCCGTTGATGGATAAATCATCCATATCATACACGTGTAATATCAATACATAGATAGATTGTCTAAATTGGTTCCTGGAATTGCTTCATTTCCATAAAATGACAATCGAATTCCTTTAAAACTAGAACAATTCGGAAATACTTTTAGCACAATAAACATCAAAAGTATCTGTATATGTACGAATAAACGATCATAATATATATTTGCATGTACACAGTAATTTTGAAGCCAGGGGACTATTAGCATTTGGAAATTGCAACAAATTCCAGCTAACCACTTTCCTCTTTAAGACCCATCTTTACTTATTAGCATTACTCTACAATCCGTGTGCATATTTCCCGTTTAAAGTGCAATTTTGCTCAAAAAGACTTTCGTATTTCATACATAATTTGCCACTTAAATAGTTCGACATTTTGCTGTTACTTGGTTATGAATATTTTATAATCCGCGTTTGTCCCACGCTGTTTTCGCAAAAACGCATTTGTATCCCAGGGGGTAAATTTTCTGTTACGCGGTCATCAATATTTTATAATCACGCATCAACCATCCCGGGGATGCAGAATAAAAAAAAGGACTGACCGGAGGGAGAGAGACAATTATCGTTCGTACGGATGACTTTGTGCCGTGAAACGCGAAGGGAAAGAAGAAAAGTTAATGGATATTGATTGATGTGATTGATCGGGCCTTGTTTTTACGTGAACGTGAGTACGTGTGTAAGTAGTACTCGGAGTAGTAGTAGGAAGGATTTATTGAGTGTGTGTGTATCCTCCTGTCCTTGTCCAGAATTGAATTGTCCTGGAAGGTAAATGTCCCACTGGATGCATGCATGCAATGTCACCCAGAGGAAGGCAAATAAGTGCTGGGTGAAGGTAACTTTGGGCATTTGTTCGGTTTAGTATCGATGGGAAAAAGCACAGGCTGTGCCTTCTTCAAAAAAAGTGGTTGCTATATGTACATATGATGGCAAATAGAAAGGGTTGATTGTGCATATGTATGTATGGAAAAGTGGTATAGACAGAGGAGAAGGAATGAAAATTGAGATTTCCATGCATCACATCCATTTAGCCAACTTTCTCTCGTGTGAGTTCTCATAAGTGGGGAAAGCCGTTGTGTATCACGTAAGGTAGGTAGATGTGTGTTCAGTGGGGGCAGAAGTTGGGGGGGCATTAACATTGTGAGGAGGGGGTTATTAACATGATTTTTATGAATTTCTGGGGGGAGGGGGAATGGCTCCTTGTCCCCCAGCTTCCGCCGCCACTGTATCTGTTTAAGATATATCGTGGCTGTCAGGTTTGTACGCCAACAACGAATCTCGCTGGCCGTTTTGGGGGGAAATTTGGGGTACACATAATTAATCCTGGAAAAGAATTGGAGGAGGTGTCCTATTTTTAATTTATTTTTACTTCTTGGCGAATTTTTCTTAGATTAAGGTGAAAGGTTACGAGTTTTTTAAGGTTATGGTTTTTAATGTTCGACTCCCTTGTGGTCATATTTCTTGTAATTGATAGTAAATTATGTTACGTACATAATAAATCTTGACGTTAACAAAATTGTACCATTTGAACTGAAAAGTATGCAAATAAATGCACAATTTTGATGGAAAATGACAAATATGATGAGCATTTATGACTGGCTATAAAATCCTAAGAATCATTTAACTATGTCCAATATATGTACACTCCGAACAACTTATGAGTATCACATATCACATTATAGCATCATCACCTTCTCCTTGTTTTCATTTTATTTTCATTTCCAAAGCTGAATGTTTTTTTCATTACACACAACTCTTTGCCCTTGTTCTTTACTACTTATTAAAAATCTACTGAACCGAACCAGTTACAGAGAAGAGAAGACAACTGACTGACTGATATCCAATAACACGGCGTACACGTTATTAGAGTTTTGTTGTGTTATGCTATTTACTTTTTTACATGAGAGATCATGAACTGGTGCACTTTTCGGCTGCTGCATCAGTGGCCGCGGAAGTGTGGGGACAATGCCCCCCTTGTTATTCGATCTCCCCATCTTATATAAACCCCTCCCTCCCCTACAATCCTACAATGTTAATGTCCCCCCCCCACACACCTTCCGCGGCCACTGTGCCGCATCACGATGCACATCTTGCAATGTAACAAAAGATGGAAATAGTTTCCTTCCGTTCACATTTTTAGATGGAGTTTGGTTTAAAATTTTGGGATTCCTTACAAAATTGTGGTTCGTTTGGCTTCCTCCCACGAACGAACGAATGGTGGAGAAAGGTATGTATAATATGTACATGCACCTAATAAACCACTGCATTTAGTGCATCGCATCTTGCTGCAGCTTTTAAACAGTTGGTCTTATGTCGAAAAGTATTGAGGGTTGATTTGCCAGGAGCAGCATTCGTAGCAGCTTCTGTTAAGTTAAGCTACATAACTGCTGGTAAATGTGAGTGAGTGAACCATATTAAGACTAGACCGAAACCAGACCGGGTTTACCTTGTAGAGATATTTCTCATATTATTAACAATACACCAAACTTTGCTTGGTACATTGCCACAATCCATCCAGACCGTTTTAAGCGAGCGTTGCGCGTTGCATTGTGGGGTTACGTTTTAAGAGCTACGAGCTGCCTGCTTAAAAGCTACGATGAGACTGCATGCAATGAATGCACACACAACACAGGGAATGAATTCCCGTACGTAACGTAACGAAACTACTGACTGACTGAATTTGAAGAGTCTGTTTTACCTTTTTCCTAAGCTCTCCGACAGTCCGTTCTTAGTTTCCTTACGGTGCACATCGAGCCGTTCTCTCTCGCTCTTACACACAGTTCTTATTAAAAGGAGGTGATTTCGCCAAGCTAAATGCGGTATTCACCTTACAACGACAGCTTTTTTAGTAAGCACTGCACAGCAAAAAAGATCCGTCCCCAGAATTTTTCGAAGTAATCAAGTGACCCCCGAGGACAAGTTTTTTTTGAGAAATTTGTGAGATACGAAAAGTGGTACGAAACTCTGGGTGAGTAAGAAGTGAATATCTGTATAAGTAGATAAGTACAAGTGTCAAAAGGGGTGGTGGATGAGACAGATTTTGAAAATCATGTACTTACATATTGTGCATCGGCATGTACGCAACCAGCACGAATGAGGATTCAAAAGTTCATTGAATAAGAAGAAGGTGTGTGTGAATGTGTATGTTGTTGCACTTTTGTTTGCTAAAAACATTCTGCACGCTCACTTCTCTCTCAGATATAGAAGAATAATAATAATCGCGCATCTGTCTTAAGTAGTGGCTAAGAAAAAAAACTTTATATGAAGATGAAGAGTGAGTGCGAATAGTAGTATTCGTATGGTTTAAGACAGACATCATCTCTCATTGTGGTCGGCTAGCAGAAAAAAACACGTCTGCCTGCCATACACGCCGTATATGAATCTCTATGTATGTAAGTGTAATATGACTTATAATATAATCCTTTAGTGAATTAGTAATCAGAAATTCTAGATTCAAATTACATCCACCAGCAACTAAGAGACGTCTGACTACGTGTGAGATGAATTTAATGTAATGTGACCTCAATTTGCGCACACTTTGCAAATAATCGTTGAAGACGTCGTTATACTTATTTGAATAACGTTTTTCTTTAACCACGTTGTCAACGTGTTCTTAAAAGGAAGAGTAAAGTTATAAAAGGGAACAGTTCGTGTAAATTCATAACTTTGTAAAGGAACTGATGTAACTTTTAAAAACGATAATGTTGAAGTAGTATGAGAAGAAGAAAGGTGGATATTTTAAGCGTGTTTGAGTGACATCATTGAAAAAATAGGAAATAATCAGTAAGCATTGTTCGCATGGATCCTGCACCACCTTTTCTACTAATACCGGTAAGTAGGAAGTCATTGAGGTTTGATTTTTTTGTAACGATGTGGAAAACGTAGTATGAAAAACGTTTTTATTAATATCGCATCTTTAAAATAATGGGGTGAAGAAGCTTCATCTCTGGTTTTTTATTTTTATTTTTGCTTTTTGTTCATCTGTGTTTGATTGGAAAGTTTTGGGATGAATGAATTTATTGGAAAACAATGGATGGATGGAACTTTACGAGAAGGGAAAAAAAACTTGAGACTTTTTTAATAATGGCCACAAAGAGTTCATTCATCATTGTTGTTGCGTTGAGAAAAAAGTGTGTATTTATGTACCCTGCACTGCAACTGGCACGCTTTTAAATGGCTGTGGCAAAAAAAGTGAGCATACTTTTGTGTGATTTTTTCATTTAGTTAGATACTTACCGGTAAAGTTTGGTATTGTATTTGAGTAATTTGTTAAGAAAGAGGTGAATATGGATAAAATCCTTGATTTTTGTGGAGTTAGATATTCTTCTGGAAAGTTAAAATGGGAAGAATGCGTGTACTAATTGCAACTTTGGGGCGAAGAAGAGACGTGATTTTAATATTTAACGCGATGAGCGATGGTTCACCAACAATAACAAATCATTACGAGTTGATTTAATGGGATTTTAAAGTAACTACCTATAAGATTACTTACTCGGTGAGGTTGAAAATTTTGGAACTTTGGTAAATATTATGGAAGAAATACTGGTCATGAATTGTTCCAGAATTGCTTTTAGGAGAGGATTTTTTTCTATATTTTTTCAAGAAATTCCGTCTACAGAGAATGTGCCATTGTTTGTGCACTGTATCAAAATCATTGCCTGTGCACCGACTTGGATAAATTGAGCTTGCCTAGGAAAAAGAGACAATGAACTAGACAGAAGCTGAATTTAATGCTGTTTTCTTAAGGTTGACGGTGACAAAAAAATCCGTCTTCACGTAAAACACATTAAAATCCAAATCCTTCGAAAATACGGAAAATGTACGTACATAAAGTTTTAAATCATTTGTTTCCCCGTAGAAGAGTGCAGTGGCCGCGGAAGGGTGGGGAACAAAGGGACAATGTCCCCAGGGTTATTCGGTGTCCCCATCATCTGCACAAACCTCTTTCCTACAATGTTAACGTCCCCACATGTCCCCACAACTTTCCGCGGTCACTGAAAGTGCCAGCTTATGTATTTGTGTGTGTAAATAAGCAAAAACAACTTTGCGCATCCTAGGAAAACTAAGATTACTTAATTTAGGAAGGAAAGAAAGAAACATTTCTAAAAAAAAAATGGAGGAAAATATTTTCGCTTTGTCACTTTTTTAAGGCCAAATCCGCCACTATTTATAACACTAACTTATTTACATATAGGTATGTTTCTTTTTTGTCCGGATACATGCACAGTGTGGGACGACCTGACTGACATGTATGTAAAAAAAGAGTGGGTGTGAAAGTTTTACTTTCATTTCGTTCCCTGTTAACTAACCGATTGCTATGTACCTAGTTCAACTTATGAATGAAGTTTGCGTGTAGTATGAATTATTAGTTGGTAATCAATACGGTTGGTGAGACTATGTATTTACTATGCATACACGCTGCTAGAAAGATTTTCTTCAATTTGGGTAAGAGGTTTATCGCACGTTTGTGTAAGTAGATTACACAACAACCTATGGATTATCCCACCTGCTGGAGAAAAAAATCGCGAGAATATTGCATAACTGCTAAGTGACCAGTTAGGAAAACCTTTCTGCGGTGGTGATGTGATAGATTGGTCACTTTTACTTGTTAGATAATAGAACAGAATGCACACGACATAATTGAGCCTGACAAATAGGAAATTTCTGGCTGGCTCGACCTCGGATTTCACTTGGTCAAAAATTAAGAAACCAAGAGCTTACTAGGTATGTAATCCGTCCATATAGCGTGCTGGGGGAATTGCCCATGACATAATGCATCCCATTATTGCACACTAGGTATAATTTGGTGAAATATGGTTTATAGTGTTTCGGGTGCAATTAACCAGTTGGGAGAATGTGGTTTTTTGCAGGGATTTTTACCTGCAAAACGCAAGAAATTACTAGGAGAAAGTGGGTTTTTGGAACTATTTTTACCTGCAAAACGCAAGAAATTGGGAGAAAGTGTTTTTTTGCAACTATTTTACCTGCAAAAAGCAAGAAATTGGGAGAAAGTGTTTTTTTGCAGGAATTTTGACCTGCAAGAAATGCAAAGCGCAAGAAACTACGCCCCGACGCTATTCCGTGGTTAGATGGCGCATATTTCTTGCACTTTCTCCCAGTTTCTTGCACCCTGCATTTATTTCATGCCTTCCTTTGCAATAAAAGTAATGCAGCAAACCCTGCCTAGTTTATTGTTCTAATGGAATCTCATAAAGATGCCTTATTAATTAAAGATTGGCCCTTGCAGTAATGCGTATTCCATATTTGATCCGTGCTCTCATTTTGTTTGATCCTTTCTAATCCAGTGCACCACGATGGAGCTGTACAAGCGAAATCACCCCTACAAACATCGCCGCACTCTGAGTGACAACGAAACCTCGGGAAAATTTAGTCTGCCTGAAGACGTCGCGATAATTAAAACATTGAATCAATGCCGGTATCATCACGACCGACTGCGTAATTGTACTAATTGCCCTACAGACTTATTAGAGCGTGATTGTGGGGGACATTACTATTCATTTGTGAGTGGCACCTTTAAAATACGAACCCCCTCGAGAACGGATCATCCAGTTTCTGCCCCTGGAACAGAAAGCACCTTAAACGAGAACAATTTAAAGCTGATCAATATGCAGACTTCTCCTCACAGTCCAATTATTCCTGCGAGAGAGCAGGACCACTTAGGGTTTGAGTGTTGTGGGGCTAATTGCTTGGATAATAATAATGATGACGATCGTAATGGTGGTGGTGGTGTGGAGACATTAGCGAACTCGAACTGTGATACTTTATTGGGAGGCAGGATGACAACGGGAGCAAATACACTGACTGAGATAACCCAATCAAGAAGAAGCCTTGCTGCTATTGTGACGAGATGGAAGGATGACTTTGTGGGCCGTTTGAGGCTTCTACTTTCAGGTAATGTGCATAAATAATTTGACTATTTATCCGAAAACTGCATACGTGGGAGAACTTGGGGTTTACCGGAATTTTCTGGTTTAATTATTGTTTTTCAAGGAATTTCAATTTTTGCACAATTTAACTATTTATCGGGAAATTGCATAGGAAAAGTACCGGAATTTTCTGCTTTTATTATTGTTCTTGTGACATTAAAATTATGTATTATGTACATATTTAGGTACAGTCCTGTTTTTCAATTTTTGCGAAATCGAATTGAATACTAAACCATAATCATTGGTTTTTATGGATCGATTTGTCCTCTGTGATGTTGATATCATGTTGAATTGTTTAATATTGAGGCGAGCATGGATGGTTAGATTTTGTTTCGTGGTAAAATGGGACTGATTGTTATTGATGCATGGCAATTATGGTAAGGTCACAAAATGAATGAATACATAGAATCCCTGAATCCGTACATATCTTACTTTTTCCATCCGTCCTCCTTTGAACTAGTCCAGTCCACACCTAAACTTTAATCATATCGGGTTTGACTTTGCCGTTCTATGAAATGCGATACGATGTGACCAAACCACCCGACAATGCATATGTACTTACCCCCCGTAATTTACTTCCTCCTCCTCTTGTGTCCAGTGGGATTCAACGGAACATATAATTTCTCTATATTTGCCCAAAAACTGGGAAAAATATAATAATCATGCCGTCAGCGAGGAGGAGAGAATTTTATTTTACTTTTTGGAATGACGTGGTCGTCATATAGATAAATAGGAATATGTGTTTGTACACATGGAGGGTTGGTTTTTGGGGCGATATCATCTTATATGCGGTATGATCGGTTGTCATTTCTTGCGCCCTTACTGTCTAGTTTAAATGAAACGTACCTACATCATCCACATCCAGAAAAGGTTATTAGAATTATAGAATGATACGGAAATAAAAGGATTTTTACGGCATGAATGGACCTGGTCAATGGAAACCAAGTAAGCTGAACTTGAATTAACGAGGTATATATGTAGAAGGCAAGAAATTTAAGTAGACAGGTATTGGATTGGCCTAATTTCGGGTGCCTTAATATGTATTAGATGCATATTGGTGGGCATTAAGAGGGTAAGAGATACTAGTTTATGTATATACCCTCTTCATAAGCTATTTAAAACGGAATTGGACCCATCATCATTAGCCGTGAAGGAGAGTACAAATGCGTTTAATATCCAATCCGCAGTAATCAGGAATTCAGATCAGGACCAATTTATTTGTGTCCGTGTGTACATCCACGTAAAAAAGAATAGTTCTCTTTAGTTTAGTGAGACATATTATTGTGACATATGAGGTAATAGTTTGATACTTGCAATTAGTTAGCGAGTCCAGGTGAAGCGTTTGTTAAGTTGTATTTATTTACAACTAGCAATATGCTCTTATTCGATCTTGAATAACTTGTTTAAGGAAGAAGAAGAACAAGTATAAAATCAGATAAAATACATACTTATTCCTTGAAATTCTTATGTATTTACCTTCTGTTGTCTTATTGCTACCTTAATAAAGCATCTTGCCTCACCTGGTGTGTTTATAAAACCTGGTGTAAGTTAATGCTCTCTCTGGAAGCAGGAGTGCTTTTTAGGCTGACCGAACCGACCCCAATGGTGCGTATGTACGTATCAATAATAATGTGGTTCCTATATTTTCATACTCTCGTGGTGTTCTTCAGACATCCTGAAAGGCTGGCTGGCCGCATACCTCGTGCGTGCGTCTTGCCTGCATTTTTATGTACCTTCTAGTAATTTAAAGTTTCAACAAAACCTGGCTCCAAATTCTATAAGTAGACTGAGACTCAACACGGATGAGATAAAACAACAGTTAATTGTTCATTTTTTAGCAGTTTGGTGGTGGCGTTTAAACTTTGTCGTGTAGATAAATAAATCGTAATAATTAGTATGTTACTGTATTGGCTGAAAGGGTTTTTTTCCCAATTAATAAATCAATCAATCAACTAGTTGACTTTTGATCTTGTGACGCTAGCCGATTTGCATATGCGTGTAACCGAATTGTTAATATTGACCAATATTATTGCATTATTGGAATTTGTCCGTGTTGTTGCAGCAATTACCCTCAAATTAGACAATGACCATACTTACGGGGATGCCAATAAAGGAGAAAATATGTAGTCGGCTTATAGAAAATATTAGAAATTTGTACATACTCTCCCCTCGAAAAAGAAAGAGCACTTTGTCCGTAAACTTCGTGTGACGAGGAGGAAATAAACATTGTGATTTCGTCCGGTGCTAAGTGCAAGCTTCTTGATTTTCCCTACGCAGTGGGCCGATCTCTGATGCTTCTGTTGATTGCCTTGCCAAGCATGCATGCATGCACGATCTCATTCACCGCTTTTTGAGAATGGCGGACGGTGAGGTTTATCAGTAAACTTTTTATGAGACGTCCAGGGTAGAAAAATTATCGAAAAATTGCATGTGAATCAACTTCTCACGGCATTTCCTTTTAATAAACTGGGAGTGAGTATGCTCCACTTTTTGTGAGGAGGGCAACTCTGGAGAAATTTAATGTGGGGCTGGAGAAAGTTGTAATGTAAGGTAATTCCTCGTCCGGTTTCCTACTTCCTAGTTGTCCGCGTGTGTGTAAGCTTGGGTGCACAAGGGAAAAAATCAATGAGCATTTATCCTCTCATGCATATGTACGGATTTTGTGTGTGTGTATGTTAAAAGTACTTCCGAAATGGGTGGTGGTGGTGTGGTTGCTTTCTTTGGAAGAGTTTTTTGAAGTTGAAGTTGACCAAGTGAGAAAAATTTGGAGAGCACTTTTTCCAGGAAGGTTTTGGTACTAGGAATAGTAGTAAAAGTAAGAATGGAGGTCTCCCAGCGGATGCTCTGAGATTTAGAGCAAATTAGTGTCAATGGATGACAAATTTAATTAGTATGAAATTTTCAAAAGACACGATCTCCCAATGGGCACGTTTGGCAGAGATATTTGTATCCAAAGAGGAGAAAGCGCGCAGTAAAGCTGGAAAGTGTAAAATTTGTCGATTTTAAAGCGCACTTTCTCCTCTTTGGATGCAAATATCTCTGCCAAACGTGCCCATTGGGAGATCGTGTCTTTTGAAAATTTCATACTAATTAAATTGGTCATCCATTGACACTAATTTGTTCAAAATCGGAAATCATACGCTGGGAGACCTCCATTGTTAGTAGTCGACATAATTATAAAAGACTGGTGTAGTATAAATAAGGATCATTCGAAGTGTAATAATGACCGCGTGTGTGTCGGGATTACATACATACCCGGTAAGAAAAAGCAGGTAACAATATTGTGCACGTTTTTCTTTCAATGTGCAAATTGCGGTTTTATATTTATGATTACAACGACCAGACCACCACCACCACTCGGAGTGGTAATCAAACATGGTAAATTCTCCCGACTTGGTAGTAGTTAAGCAAAGAAACGGGTAGTCGTTCTATTTCGAGTATAAATCTGAATCTTGTACTTTCTTTGATTCCGTGTCTCATTCATACGCATGTATGCAAATACATAAATATGCACGGGAGGGCTGGCTGGCTAACTAAGCAGGTAAATCTAGATCAAACGGAGTCCAGTCCAGACTGGACAAAAAAGCTATCCGGGAAGTTCGTTGTACTTTAAATTAGCCATGGACATGGAAGAATCATGACTCGAAGACCGACATTCCTTTCGACTTTCTTTGGTCGGTGGTGGTAAAAAAAAGTGTGCAGTGCAGAGTTATTAAGGTATCGTAAAATTGTGACAGATTGTGTTTTATAGGGAATCAGTTCTCAGTTCTTTATAGTTTTATTTGATGATGGGGAATGTCAACGTGGTTGGTTGGATATGCGAAGAAACGAAGAAACGCAAGAAACGGATGCGGAAGTATTCGATTGGCTTTAATATACTTGGTCAAGCACGAGACGACGACCGTGTTTGTTTGTACTTTTGGAGTACATAGCACTTATGTTTTACAATGCAATACTTATGTATGTACAATATAATAAACCCACTTGATGAAGATGATGCATGGGAGGATTGAGTGTGATGAATTGGTAACTTTCTTCGGTAAAGAATGCCGTTTTTTCTTGACGGACATTCATCATGCAGCATTTTTTTTGCTCAGTTATTAAGAACAATAAACTGAATAAGCAAGCGAACTTATTTCTAGATTTGTTCAGGAGAAATGAGCATTTGAATATTTATAAAGTTAAAAAATTGCTAATTACTAATTAGTTAAATCGTATTTTCCTCAAAGTCCTACATTTTGAAGTTATCTAGTTAGTCAGTTAGTAGATAAATACAGTTGGCGAAATCAACGTGAAGAGAGGGAGGTCGACCATCCGTCACTTCCTTCCGATGAATATGAGACATTTGGTTAGAATACGGATAAGTTAAGTGACTGAACGAATGTGACATACCGGAAACCACTCCGCGTCACCAACTTCCAGCCAAACTAAGGAAGGATACATACATAAGTAACCAGCGCAAAGTAATATGTATGAATGTGCTCATTTTTCTATGTAGTACATGCGTTCATTATTTATCTTTTTAGCAGTACTAACTCACCTTGCGTAGATGGATAGGTATTTATCATCAGTGGCCGCGGAAGCTGTGGGGACACTAAAATTTTAGGATAGGGGAGGGAGGGGTTTATATAAGATGGGGATATGATGGGGACATCGAATAACCGTGGGGACATTGTCCCTCTGTCCGCGGTATTTATTTCTGGATCGTTTTTTCGTCTTCTCCATTTCAATCATAGATTTCTGGTTGTTTTTTAAAAAAAGATACTCATCCGGACCCTGACTTACAAATGATATGCCTACAACCACATCAAGCTGCTGTCTTTTTCGCTGTACGTATTACATAGATTGTGCTTCCCTTTTGACGGTTTCGTTTCGTTGGTTTGGTTGGTGTTCATTTCTTGTGTGTGGCATATTTATGGGGTGTGTGTGTTCATGTGTTGGCTGAGTTCGGAAATGATAAAAAAG